TAATTTCTTTCTTTATTTCTTCCTTGACCCAGGTTTGTACAAAGGAGCATTGCTTAATTTCGATATGTTTGTAGAATTTTTTTTATTATTTATTTATTTATTAAAGATTTCTGTCTCTTCTCCGCCACCACCTCCCATATTCCTCCCCCTCCCCCAATCAACTCCCCCTCTCTCATCAGCCCAAAGAGCAGACCTGGTTCCCTGCCCTGTGGGTAGTCCAAGGACCTCCCACTGGGAATGTTCTTTTGAGAACACAACAATGCCAGCTGGACTGGGTCTGAAAAAACATGGGATAAAAAGAGACTCACTGAACATACCAGACAATGAGGACTGCTGAGAAGTCAAGAACAATGGCACTGGGTTTTGATACCACTGAACATACAGGCTTTGCAGGAGCCTAGGCTGTTTAGATGTTCACCTTACTAGAACTGTTTGTAGACTTTTTGAAATTAGTGTTGATAATGAATTCTACTTTTTTTTATTTTTTATTATTACTTTTTTATTGAAAAAAAAATTTCTGCCTCCTTCCAGCCTCCCATTTCCCTCCCCCTCCTCCCATTCCTCTCCCCCTCCCCCCACTCCTCTCCCCCTCCTTCTCCAGTCTGAAGGGCAGTCAGGATCCCCTGCCCTGTGGAAAGTCGAAAGTCCTCCCCCCTCCATCCTGGTCTAGGAAGGTGAACATCCAAACTGGCTAGGTTCCCACAAAGCCAGAACATGAAGTAGGATCAAGACCCAGTGCCATTGTCCTTGGCTTCTCAGCAGCCCTCATTGTTCGCCATATTCACAGAGTCTGGTTTTATCCCATGCTTTTTCAGTCACAGTACAGCTGGCCTTGGTGAGCTCCCAATAGATCAGCCCCACTGTCTCAGTTGGTGGGTGCACCCCTTGTGGTCCTAACTTCTTTGCTCATATTCTCCCTCCTTCTGCTCCTCATTGGGACATTGGGAGCTCAGTCCAGTGCTCCAGTGTGGGTCTCTGTCTCTATCTCCATCCATCACCAGATGAAGGTTCTATGGTGATATGCAAGATATTCATCAGTATGGCTATAGGATAGGGTCATTTCCGGTTCCCTATCCTCAGCTGCCCCAGGAACTAACTGGGGACATCGTCCTGGGCACCTGGGAGCCCCTCTAGGTCCAAGTCTCTTGCCAACCCTAAGATGGCTCCCTTAATTAAGATATATGCTTCCCTCCTCCCCTATCCAACCTTCCTTTATCCCAATCATCCCGATTCCTCAAGTTCCCCCCATCCTCCCCTTCTCACTTTCTCTCTCCATCTCCCCTTACCCCCTCCCACTCCACTCCCAAGATCCCATTTTTTTTGCCCAGCAATCTTGTCTACTTCCCATAACCAGGAGGATAGCTATGTTTTTCTTTGGGTTCACCTTCTTATTTAGCTTCTTTAGGATATCATATTATAGACTCACTGACATTTATTTATGGCTAGAACCCAATTATGAGTGAGTACATCCCATGTTCATCTTTTTGGGTCTGGGTTACCTCACTCAGGATAGTGTTTTCTATTTCCATCCATTTGCATGCAAAATTCGAGAAGTCATTGTTTTTTACCACTGAGTAGTACTCTAATGTGTATATATTCCACATTTTCTTCATCCATTCTTCCATTGAAGGACATCTAGGTTGTTTCCAGGTTCTGGCTATTACAAATAATGCTGCTATGAACATAGTTGAACAAATGCTTTTGTCATATGATAGGGCATCTCTTGGGTATATTCTTGTAGTCTTTCTAGATAGGTATTCTTCAACCATTTGAAGAATCTGTGGAACATGGCATTTAAATAACTTAGGGTTCTGGTGACATGAGACATGACTGCTTCTGACAACACCAAGCTATTCCTGAGAGAATGTTGAGTCCCGAAGACGTGGAGCTTGTTTTCTTCTTGACAAAACTAGCCTTTGAGCAAGGAACTGACGGTGCCTCAACCACTGACAAGTTACATCATATCCAGAAATGGACAAGCAAGACGGTCAAATCTTCCCAAGAAAGGGTAAAATAAATGGTTTTGAAAAATTTTCTGCCTCTGAAAATAGTCTGTCAATTACACTAGGCCTTAGCCAAAGTTGGTTGCTACAACATTGCAAAATGAGACTTTGTGTGATTACTCAGGTAGCTAATTGTTTCCTTCATATGTTGCTCACTTTGGAAGCTACTTGATTGTACTTCCTGTCAGCTCCAGTTATATTATCTCCCTTCTCAGTTCATAGATAGGGTTGAAGATTAGATAGTCATAGTTACTGTACTCTTACGATCTAGCCAAGCCAATTTCTATATAAGACTTAGACTCCATAGGATAGAATGTTTATTAACACATTTAACATATATTCCTTGCTCAATATTGTTTAATCTGATTGTAAATCTAATCTTATACTTGCTATCTGATCCTAGTGTATATTGTTTTGTATTGGTTTTGAACTCTCTTACTTAAGCAAAATGGGAAGGCGCTGTAGGTGCTCGTTCGGCTTCTTAAGCCAATGGCCTTTAAGGTACCAGCCCACTGAGGCATGGTTTCATATACTTTAAAAAGCAGCAGGAACTGGGATTGTTTTGCAGCCTCATATATATATATATATATATATATATATATATATATATATTGCAAAACAATATATATATATATGAAGAGAGAGGGAGAGTTACATATATATATATACATATATATATAGTTATATATATAATTATTCTTTAAAAATAATATATATTAAAAATTAAAACTTGTTACAAACACATATTGCAATGCTGAAGAATGAATATGAATCTTGGCAACCAGAAAAAACATCATTTTGAATAATGCAAAAGAGCTGGAGAACATGACTAAATATAATCATTACTTTTCTAGCTATTTCTTAAGACTAATTAATGCAGTGGAGAAATTTCTTTTAGAGAAAAGTTTGTAAAACTTTCAAATAATAAGAATCTATTTTTTGTGTTTTTCAATTTTTTAGGACATAATATATTTTCTAGGGGTTTCTGCAAACAGCAGGGCTGGCAGATTAACAGTCCACATGGAGCAAGAAGGAAATTCTAAACAACAGGATTCAGTAGCTTGGGTTGGTTCAAACTTCTGGAATTTGACTCTGAGTTGTCTCAAGAGTCAAGATCCAGTGATTACAGCATTCAGAATATTTTTCAACACATTGGGTTCTATAGTTATGTTCCTACATCTGACAAAAATAAACATGTCTTACAAATTGAATGCAAATATTTGTTGCAGGAGGCAGAAAATCACATCCAAGATTATGTCATGGAACAAAATGTACTTGGACTAAAAGGTCCTCTCCATTTTTCTTCTTAGAGATTTTCTCACAGTTCCCCAAGTAATTCATCAATATGTATAATTTTAACTGTATTTTGATACACTGAATATTGAGTATGCCCAGTGTTGCTTCTGGAAGTTTAGCATGGCCTGGTCACAGATAGCACAAGGACAATACATATAGGCAATTATCCACCGCCAGCCCCAGCTGTCAGAGTAGAAAACAGAGTATGCATTGAATTGACAACCCTGTATTTAACATTTCTGCTTTCCCAGTGCTACCTTTGAGTACATGAGCCTTTGCACTCATTACAAATTACATTTTGTACCTTCAGTTTCCTCCCTCCCACTCTCCTATAAACCACACATTCCTGTTCTCCTTCAAGTTTTTGTCCTTTTTCATGCATTGTTATTTTTATACATAAACTTGTATATACATATATTCCTAAATACAAAAGGAGCAATCCATACCATTTTACAATTCTGTGTTTTCAAGGGTGTCCATTGGTTAATGGACAATAAGCTTTTGTGCTCTCTGGGGAAGGCCACTTCTCCCACTCCCTGCTTTTCTAAATAACTATATAGTTCTTTGAGGCTGTTATCTTACAGCTTTCCTTTCCAGTTTAGCATTTCCCATTGGTATCATCTAACATCCTCACATCGATTTAAACCACAATTATACAAAGTTTGAATAATCTATATAGATTGTCATTTGCTGTTCTACCAGATCCAAAACATTAGTGTGGAGACTTCTTACTTGAATGCTTGGCCTTAACATAGGATTGTTTCCAATTAGGACCAATAACTTAAATTAACCCATATTTTTTGTCTACATTTTGCCACAAATTGCACAAGCTGCTTCCTTCCTGTTTCCTGGCAACTCCCCTGCATGCCTCAATTGCTCCTCCTCCTTACTCTCTCTGCTAGGAATTTCTGCCTGTACTTTGTGCCTAGACATTATCCAATCATCAGCCTATTTCGTCAATCAAAGTAACCCAGTTTTAGACAGTGTAGGCATTTTCCACGACAAATCTACTTCTATTTTATGCCAAGTTTTCATTGTTGCTGTGATCCACGGAAGAGCTCACATTTATAATACCCTGCAATTAGAAAACAGACTATCAGAACAAAAAAATGGAATAAAATATTGCGAAGATATTTAACACTTTTTATTGCAAAGACACAGAATGAAAAGACTTGAATTTTAAAGCAAACTGGTATTTATATAAAATCACCAAAAATCACAGGAATACAATGTTTATATAGAATATAATCTCATTACATAAGCAACCATATGACAAGAAATTAAATATGCATCAAAATCTGAAATTGTTTCATATCGACTGGCTCTTTAACATGTTACCTCAACATACAGTCAAGAAACGTTGTTTAATTTTCTTATACTATAAATATTGCCTCATCCATCATAATGATGTTTGAATAGTATATTCTTATAATGATGCAAAAATTCAGTTTAAAACAAATGTTTGAAAAAATAAAGTTCAAATCTGGACACAATGTTTCTAAATTTGTAAGAACTGTATATCTGTATAAGTATTGACGAAACTTTGAAATTATTTAAAGGATTTGCATCTGTGTAATATCTTGGTCAATGTATGAAAATTGTACAATGAACTAAATTGAGGTATACTAATAAACTTTATGAAATGTATCTATTATATGAATTTTGTGATGATTTCTAAGAGTTGAGTTTCTCGTAAAGCACTTGCCACATTCTTTACATCTGTAAGGTTTATCACCAGTATGGACTCTGTGGTGAATGTGAAGATTTGAGGCCTGGGTAAAGGACTTGCCACATTCCTGACATCTGTAAGGTTTTTCACCAGTATGGACTCTGTGGTGAATGCGAAGATTTGAGGAAAGGGTAAAGGACTTGCCACATTCCTGACATTTGTAAGGTTTCTCACCAGTATGGATTCTGCGATGTCTGTGAAGACTTGTGTAATGGGTAAAAGATTTGCCACATACCTGACATCTGTAAGGTTTCTCACCAGTGTGGATTCTGCGATGTTCGTGAAGAGTTGAATCCCGGGTAAATGACTTGCCACATTCTTGACATCTGTAAGGTTTATCACCAGTATGAATTCTGTAATGCGCCTGAAGAGTTGAATCCTGGGTAAAGGACTTTCCACATTCCTGGCACCTGTAAGGTTTCTCACCAGTATGAATTCTGTAATGCGCCTGAAGATTTGAATGCTGGGTAAAGGACTTGCCACATTCTTGGCACCTGTAAGATTTCTCACCAGTATGGATTCTGTTATGCCTATGAAGATTTGAATCCTGGGTAAAAGACTTGCCACATTCTTGACATCTGTAAGGTTTCTCACCAGTATGAATTCTGTAATGCGCCTGAAGAGTTGAATCCTGGGTAAAGGACTTGCCACATTCCTGGCACCTGTAAGGTTTCTCACCAGTATGAATTCTGTAATGCGCCTGAAGATTTGAATGCTGGGTAAAGGACTTGCCACATTCTTGGCACCTGTAAGATTTCTCACCAGTATGGATTCTGTTATGCCTATGAAGATTTGAATCCTGGGTAAAAGATTTGCCACATTCTTGACATCTGTAAGGTTTCTCACCAGTATGGATTCTCTGGTGAGCTTGAAGTTTTGCATGATGGGTAAATGACTTGCCACAATCTTTACATTTGTATGCCTCCTCTCTGAGATTAATTCTCTTAAGCCTAGTGAGGCATGGAGATCTGTTGGAGCCCTTCTCACATTCCATGTAGTAGTTTTGTCCAATTCGATTACTTACAAAATGTTTCTCTTGTGTCTGGTCATTCTGCAACAAAAATAAAGGTATGTGTTATAATAAAGAATCTTACAATTTTAATATAAGTATTGGCTCTTAGGAAAAACAAAATTTGTTCTATATATTTAAGTAATAAGTAAAGTCATATTGTGATTTGATGTTTTGGGAATTTCTCCCTTTAAGATGAGTATTCTGATAACTAGTCATCCTAGAGCTCCTAGGAAATGTTTTAATAACATCATTAAATATGTAAGGATTCTCACAACTAGAAATGCTATGATATATTTTCAGTCTCATTTGAGAAAAAACTCCCCATGTATATCTCAATCGAATAGCTTGTGACAAAATATAATTATTAGTTGAGGGAACTTTAGTGAATGTTTAATAGTGTATGTGTCTTTCAGTTTTTAGATTTTTGAAAATCCTTTGTAGAATAAAAACATGCTTTAAAACATATTTTTTTACTGAAGAAAATTTCTGAAAACAAAATTGATCTAATGTGAAGTATTGCAAGCAAATGTAGAGATTATTAAAATTTTTTACAGGTAAACACAGGGTTGGTGAATACAAATTATATCAATCATGACATATTCCATTCTCTTTTCTCTCTTCCCAATAATTTGAGATCATCCTTAAATGCAAGGTTTTTAAGTCACTACTTACATCTATTCCTGATATTAACTTTTGGATAGGATCTTGTCTATTCTCCAGTGAAATCAGATCTTGTTTTTGATTAAAATAGAAAACTGGAAGATAGAAATATATAATTGTTAGTTCACATATGTGAAACATTTTCAGATTTTAAGTTACATAATTTTATAAATATGTAGACTCTTATGCAAGGGAGCATATTACAGAAAATAAACTTCAAATCATTTATTCTTATGAAACAATCTTTTTAAGGCAAGTGGGTAGATGATCTTTTATAACATATAATTAATAAATTATAAAAATGGAAGAATGAAGTTATCTTACCTTACATATTCCAATCATAATTTTCAGAATAATAAACAAGAGTATGAAGAGTTCAACGAAATGACCCCATATAATCAGATGTCTGAATATGTGGCCTGAAGTTGGCGGATATTTATGGGTAGAGTAAAAAAGGTATCAACTTACTGGAACACATGTATCTGGATAATGGCTTTGAGAATTTTAATGCCTTCTAATGCCAACAGTGAGCTGTCTGCTTCCTGTTTTGGTTCCAAATGGAACCTCTCACGGCAGCTCTAGCTCCTTGTAAACAATTACCTCTGATTTATCATAATGGATCTTTCTTCTATATATTGTCTTTATCTTGGAGTTTTATCACAGCAATTGAAAAAGTCTATAACCCAAATACAAAAAAAATCACACTCCTGTATGGTATTATCTTAATGAAAATAACTCATCTTCACAATCCCTCAAATTGAACAAAGAAACAATATGAATAAAGAAGACCGACTATTGATTAGTAAAGAAAGAAGGAAAGGAGGAACATGAAACAGTTATTACTAACTGGCCCACAGAGAATCATGTATGCCACAAGGAAGGCATCCATAAATTTTCAGACATCATGTAAATTCACTAGGACTGATCTTATTAAAGAGATACATTTTCTCTTTTTCTTATACAGAAAATAAATGTTTTCATAAAATATATTTTTACTATGGCTTTTCTCCCTCAAAATCCATGAGATCTTCCCCATCTTCATTGATGTCAGAATTCACCCACTTTCTGTCACTTAGAAAACAACTTGGCATCGAAAGAATCAGAAAGTAGTTTGGGGTAATTCTAACTAGAATTAAATGCTAATGTTTTCTGAAATGTATTTTTCTAGATTCTTGTACAAAATAAGTTGTCATAGATGAGTGCACTTATTTTAGTATATGTAATTTGTTTTGGTGATCAGCCATACCATTATTTTACAAAACCTGATTATTATATAAAAGCAGAATATTTTAAAATTGTGAATGGTGATATACTGTATATATAGATTTATTTTTCATGATTGTTTAAGCTATTGTGAGATTTTTGTTTGTTTGCCTCCATATGATGCTGAAGACTCTCTTTTTGAGACCTTCAAGAATTGTTAAAATTTTAATGGGATTTTCACTGAATCAGTATATTACTTTGATAAGATATTCATTTTTGCTACATCGATTGACCAATCCATGAGTACATGAATATTTTCCATCTTCTGATATCTTTTTCAGTTTATTTCTTCAATGCCTTAGAGTTCTGACAAGGGTCTTTCACTTTTTTAGTTTGATTACCCCAAACTATTTTCTGGGGTTATTGTACAAGATGTGGTTTCCTTTCCCTGATTTCTATTTAAGTCCTTTCTCATTCGTACATATGAGGGCTACTGCTTTTGTTAGTCAATTTTACATCTCTTATTTTTGACGAAAGTGTATCTCAGTTGGAGAAGTTTCTTGGAGTCTTTTATACATAAAATCATAGCATTTGCCTATAACATTCCTTTCACGTCTTCTTTTGTTATTCATCACTTTTTCATCTTCATTTGTATTATTATTCTAGCTAAGATTTCAAGGACTGTATGGAATTCATATGGAGAAAGTGAATACCCTTGTATTGTTTTCTATTTTAGTCTTTGATTTCTCTCCAGTTAGTTTGGTGTGGGCTATAGGCTTGCTACAAATTGCCTATTTCATTTGGAAGGATGTACCTTGCATCCCTAATCTCTCCAGGACTTTTGTCAAGCAGAGGTTGTTAATTTTGTCAAAGGATTTTCCGCATATAATGAGATGAACATATGGACTTTGACTTTCAGTTTACAAAGCAGTAGATTACTTTATTGGTTTTGAATTGTTGATCTGTCCCTATATGTCTTGAGAGGAAGTCTCTGGTAGATAGTTCCTTTGATATGCTATTGGATTCAGGTTGCATATATGTTACTGAGGACTTTCGCAGATATGTTCATAATGAAATTGGCACATCTTTTACTTACTTTTTGTGTGTATACATGGTTTAAATGTCAAGGGAACTGTCCCACAAAAAGAATTTCACAGAGTTCTGGTCTTTTTTAATTTATTTATCTTTTGAAGAATAGCTTGAGGAGTATTCATGCTAATTCAAGATAAATATTAAAAGATAGGAGATACCACTTACTACCATTATTCTGCTGCTTGGATATAGTATTAAAATTATTCCTATATCTTATTGGTTTACCCATAGACTGGTGCATCTCTATGCCTTTATACCTAATGGAATTTGACAGTAAATGTTGACTCATAGGTGGACATAGTGAAAACAAAACAAAAAAAATCGGTTTTAATTAGCATGTTAATATAAAACCCATTTCATGGAATGTTCAGAGCTCATTCAGGAGAGAGTGATAATGCATGTTAAGTGTAGGAAGTCATGAATGAATATAAGAAAATAGTTCTTTTGTATGCAAAGAAACAGATGACTTATAAACTCATTTTATCAAGGCAGTATACATTCGACCTAAGAAAGCTCAAGCAAGACTAAAATCCTAGAGAAAAAGTGGACATGGAGACACACACCTTCCTGAGATGATTCTATCACCTGAAACATATGTGGAGAAAGGGCATAAATTTAAGAATGTGCAACTTCTGATATTTTAACCATATTACAGGCCATGCTCAACACCCAGGGTTGTATGAGAATTACAGATTGAATTCTGTGGGTGTAAAAAAAAAGAGAAAAAATAAAGAAGTTTAGAGGAAGTGGAACATCAGAGAACTGGAGAGTTGAATTGGTCAAATGATACTGTAATTTATTTTTAAATAATTAATTAAAGTATTAAAAATAAAATATTATGCATATACAAATTTGATTCTCCAAACACACTCAAATATAGATAAAAAAAACAAAGGAAAACAAGAGAATATACAACCTTTATGTGGACAGTAACATATAGATTTTGATATTCAGAGATTTTTATATGACTTTAAAATGGACCAATAGCATGTATGACTCTAATCAGTTCTTAATTTCTAATGAATATTTTTCAGAAATAAAAAAGTTACCTTTTAATTTCTGTAGAGTATAATGCAATGAATGACCTCTAAAATCTTCCAAATTGAGTACAAGTATAAAATTCATATTTTCTGATTTTATGTAATAATACACAACAGTGAAAACTATGTAGTACTCTCATAAGAGCCGACAAACAGACATGAACATGGACAGAGAAATACTCTTTCAAAAACTACAAAAAATTTTAATACTACTTTTATTTTCAATATTGTTCATTTCTGGGTTTGGTGGCATTCAAGGATATGGCAACAAATATTCTAAATTCTGCTTTATACCATAATTAAAGTTAAGTATTCAAAGTAAATTTTTAGGTTATTTCATGTGAATTAGACCCATAAAGTAATTTGAGATAACTATACAATGTGAATTTTTGTACCATTTCAGGGCAAGATCTTTGCTAACCCCACTTCAGAGAAGAATTCCTCTATGTCCTAGGTTTCCCACATGTGCCAAGGCTTCATAGTCGCTTACCTTTTTCATTGCCTTCTTTCTCTCCCATGTTCACAATCCAGGGTTCTTTGCTTTGTTCAAGACAGATGATTATGTCTGGTTTTGGCACTGAAAGACCTGCATATTAGAAGAGATATATGTCCATAAATTGGGATAATAGTAATACACATGGATTTCTAAGATAACACTAACTATAAAAGATATGATATAATATAAAATTAAAAATATAAATCCTGTCTCCAAAAATTTAAAACATTCAAAAGCAATTTTGATAATATTGTATTCCTTGATTTCTTTTGTAAATTACTATTGAAAGCAAATATGTTGTGAATTATCATGTTGCAAATCAATATATAATCTAGAATGTGTCTGAAAAGTAAAATGTATTATACAAGTTTGAATGATAAATGTCATTCCAAGGATTCAGGAATATATTGATGAGATAGAGTTACACCAATTATTGGGTTCTACACGATGAACTCCAAGATTTTTATTAAATTGACATGTAAAAGTAAGGCTAGCAATTCAGGCATAGATATAATACATGCTTGTAGAAAAAAATCATAGTAAAGACGGAAACATGACAATAAATCTCACCTACAGAGACCATATTACTATAGTTCTCCAACATGACATCCCTATACAAAGCCTTCTGTTCAACGTTGAGGCAGTCCCACTCATCTGGAGAGAAATCAATTGCAACATCCTGGAATGTCAAGATTCCCTGTCATGAAAGAAAACAGATTATGAGGGGCTCAGGTACAAATTTCTTTACTTAGAAAAAGAATACAAGAGTTCGTCACAAAACATGATGTGTTCTGGATTAGCATTATTTGAAAAACATACTCCAAAATACAGTCTATAAATAAAAATCTGTGTGCCTGAAATATTAAGCCATGTAGGAAAAAAGTAAACTGTAGATGTACAGGCTGAAATGGGGTATGTGAATGGGAGCCAAATTATCATCATGTGCAGTTCCAGACTTCACCAATTAAGGGCCTCTACTCTCAAGGCAAATTGTTTCATTAGGATCCACAATTTGAAGAGACAAGAGCTGTAAAGATGAAACCATGCATGCATTCATAGCTGTCAAATGAAAATGAGTCAAAAGTAAGATGTGTAGACAGGGGCAGAATTGCCATATCCAAGAATGAAGCACAAATCCTTCTGCAAATTATTCCAATGACATTACTGGGAAGAACCATGAAAGGTGTGACACCTGTGTGAGGGGAATTCAAAAGAGGCTGACTTCTAACTGAATAAATAGTAGGAACACTGTGGGAAGATTTATAAAGAACAAGTTAGGTTGCAGATTGTGTAGCTGATCCATGGCTTGAATCAGCTGACATCTTAAGCTGACTCGCCCCTGAAGCTACAGGGATCCACCACTGCTTCAAGCACCCAAGATGAATATGAGAAATAAATTACAGTAAGTTACTCATCAAAATTACTAAGGAAACATTAAAAGCACCAACAAAAATGTTGATTAAACAACTCTGTGAACAGCAAGCATGTCATACAGATGATTTTATAGATTAGAGTTAATATAACAAACAGTACCTTATCCTTCATCAAATTTTCTACATGACTTGCAATGGGGTAAGTAGAAAGAAAAGGGCAAACCACGTAATATGTACCCTGATTGACAGTGTAGTTAAATTACTCATTGTATATTTCCTTATTGTCTTTCTCCTCTTATAATTCTTTAACATAGTCACTCTCATTTCACTACATCTTAATTATTTTCTTTTATTGTTTAACTGGGATTTAACTTTTGCATGTTTCTGTAGTACACAGTTTTCTTCCATTGTACCAGTCAAAATCTTTGTAATTTCCTCTCATTGCTTAGCTTGTTTTTTGCCTCCTTCTAACCTTCTCTGTCATTACAATTGTAGATTTCCATAGTTTGACTGATGTTTATACACTGCTGGTACTATAATACAGCTATAGTTTTCATCAATGCATATGATATCCTTATTTCATCATTAGTTGGTTTAATACGGAGTTCTATTCTCATCTAAATTATATTAGCTTCTAATATAATAGCAGTAAATATCATAAGACATAATCTAATATTTTTTATTAATTCACAGTATCAGAAACTACAATTTTCCTTGCAAGTGTTTATTGTAAAGAGTCGCTTGTCTGGCTCAAAGTCCTTGGGTTCTAAAACATTATGGATGCTAAGCACTAACGGTGGCTCTTCTTGTCTATTCTGTTGTTGTTATGTGTTGTATCGCTCCTGCTTTAAAGGGATACATAGGTATTTTTACAGTGGGTATATTCAGCATTTGCAGATATTTTATGACTTATTAAACCTCACTTACATTATCTAGAAAAAAAAACATGCCATGGAGTAAGTGTTTTTTGAAAGAGATTTGGAAAACTTCTTTACTGAATTTTTGTGTGGTTTGGATATCAGGGTTAATGTGTTCTTACAAAAAGAATTTGTCCTCTTGGCTAAGGGAAGTAGACCAAATTTCCGGGGAGAAAATGGGATCTTGGGGGTGGGGTGGGATGGGGGTAAGGGGAGATGGGGAGAGAAAAGGTAGAAGGGAAGGAGGGGGGACCTGGGAAACAGGAGAATTGGGATAAAAGAAAGGTGGATAGGGGAGCACGGAAACACAATTCTTAGTTAAGGGAGCCACTTTAGGGTGGGCAAGAGACTTGACCCTAGAGGGGCTCCCTAGTGCCCAAGATGAGGTTCCCAGTTAGTTCCTTGGGCAGCTGAGGATTGGGAACCTGAAATGACCCTATACTAGAGCAATACTGACGAATATCTTGCATATCATCATAGAATCTTCATCTGGTGATGGATAGAGATAGAGACAGAGACCCACACAGGAGCACTGGACTGAGCTCCCAAGGTCCCAATGAGGAGCAGAAGGAGGGAGAACATGAGCAAAGAATTCGGGACCACGAGGCGTGCATCCACCCACTGAGACAGTGGAGCTGATCTATTGGGAGCTCACCAAGGCCAGCTGGACTGTGACCGAAAAAGCATGGGATAAAACCGGACTCTCTGAACATGGCGAACAATGAGGGCTGATGAGACACCAAGGACAATGGCAGGGGGTTTTGATCCTACTTAATGTGCTGGCTTTGTGGGAGCCTAGCCAGTTTGGATGTTCACCTTCCTAGATATGGACGGAGGGGGGAGGACCTAGGACTTAACACAGGGCATGGAACCCGGACTGCTCTGTGGACTGGAGAGGGAGGAGGAGAGGAGTGGGGGGAGGGGGAGAAGGGTGGGAGGAGGGGGAGAAGGGTGGGAGGAGGGGAAGGGAAATGGGAGGCTGGGAGGAGGTGGAAACTTGTTTTTTGTTTATGTTTTTTTTTCTTTTTTTCTTCTTTTCGCAATAAAAAAAAAACAATGATAATAGACATGCAACTAGAGACTTCTGAGATAGATAGTCTCAGGGGTGAGCTCCCTCATCATCTTTTGTTCTGACTACTGTCTGTCCTTTGCTTTCACTTTTCTTCAACTGATTTTGTAGAAAAGTGATCCCATATGCACAGATATTTAGAAAACAATTGAACAGAAACAAAGAAATAAAAGGCTGCTCTTTCAAAAGTTTGTGTTTCATTTTAAAACCAGTAACATTTTGTCAAAAAAAAAAAGAATTTGTTACTTTTCCTTCTATATCAGTTGGTTGAACAATTTGAAGACCATAATGTTTGCTTTAAATATCAAAGAATTATGTCCTCAATCATCTGACCCTGGAATTTGTTCTTTTTTTTCCATTGGGAGATGATTTTAATGACTGCCTTTATTTCAATAGTGTTCATAAGTCTACTTACGTTGTTTATATGATCTTGATTGAGCAATTTTTAAAGGTATAATTGAAAAAATTCATTTTAGATTATTTTATTTAGTGAAGTACAGGTTCTGAGCTCCTCATTATTATTTGCTACTGTCCGACTTTTCATTTCTTATTCTTCTTAATTTGGATATTCTCTTTGAATTTTAGATAATTGGACAAAGGTTTTTCTATCTTGTTGATTTTCTTAAGTATGCCTTTGAAAAAATCCAACCTCCACACCTTCATGATAAAATTATTAGAAATAATATTGATAGTGACATACCTAACATAATAAATAACATTTGCAGAAAGCCTCTAGAAACATCAAATTAAATAGAGAGAATCTTAAAGATATTCTAATAAAGATAGGAAGAAGGCAAGGCTGTCAAGTTTTTTTACACCTAGGCATTACAATACTTGAAGTGTTAGCTAAAGCAAAAGAAAACTGAAGGAGATCAAAGAAACACAAATTGGAAAAGGAGAAAAAATGTTAAATTATTTGCAAAACAAAATCTGCCAAGAAGTACTATCCACAGCTGATAAACACCATCAGTGATATGACTGAACCATAGATTAGCTATAAAAAGTCAGTAGAACTTTAAAATATTGATTCCAAATGAACTGAGAAAGAATTCGGTGGAAAACAACATTTATAATAGCCACGAAAACTCCAATAACCTGGAGTACCCTAATCAGGCTTGTGAAAGACATGTATGACCACAATTTCAATGTGTTGAAGAAAGAAATGAAAGAAGATATCAGATGATGGAAAGGTCTCTCGTGCTCATGGATCAGTAGAATTAACAAAGTAAAATTTAAAATCTGAGCAAAAGAAATGTACAGATTCTACTTAATACCCATCAAAATGCCAACACATTTCTTTACATATGATTTAAATACAATGAAAAGATATGATTGAATACTATGAGAAAAATGAAAAAAATCCAGAAACTCTAAAAAAATTCTGAGCAATAAAAATGAAGATATCATGATATCAGATTTCAAACTGTACTTCAAATAGATAGTAATCAAAACTATACAGCATTTGTAAAAATAAAGACATGTTGGTGTGTAGAATTGAATCAAAGACACAAGCACATAGCTGCACACATATAGACACCTGATTTTTGATAAAGAAACAATAAATTTGCTATGAAGAAAAGAAAACATCTTCAACAAATAGAAGTTAGATTGTCTGGCTGGAGAAAATATTGTCATTCTGCTTTATGCAATACAGAAAGATTCTACCAGACACATCCAGCTTTAACGAAGCAAAAACTGCAGTGATCGAAAATGGTAATGTCTTGCATTATATGGATTTATTGGTCAAAATAGAATTAGTGTTCCATTTCAAAAAACCTCATTGATCACATAGAAGTGGAGCTGGTGTCTATCACAACCTGAGTCTTTGGTGTACCAAAATTGTCTACATACTACTGAGAAGAAACACAAACATCAATCCCAAATGCAAACCGTTTGATCTACTTTGGTGTCCTGCCCATAAGATATGTTAGTATAATTTTGGCACAAAGCTTGTGGAGGTAATATTCCAAAATCTGATGTGATTTAAGGCTAACTCCATGAGATGAAACCAATAACTCACACTGCTTTGGTGACAAAGAACAAGAAAGTAGACAGCCCAGGGACCGGAGGTAAAATTAAACAATATTTTTTCTTCTAAAAACCAAGATATAAATTGCTCCTAAAACACATTCTACTATACAGCAGATAAATAGATCAAATATACATAGATCAATCCGAGGATATTCCTCCTGAACAGGTAGAGAGAAAAAATAGAGAAGCTCACAGCCAGACAATATGCAAAGATTGAGAGACGTTGAAATAATGCTGAATGGGAGGTCTCCATCAAATACCTTGCCTCAGGGTTCACAGAACCATGTACAAGAAGAGGAAGATACCCACACGTCCTTCCCCACACACAAACATACAAAACCCTCTACCTATACTGGATTGAAACACGTATTGATGAAAAGAAATTGAAGCAGCATACACAGGCCACTCACAGTTTAAATAAGAACTGGACACATTCCCAGATCCCTAGCCTAGAAACAATCTCTGACTAATAATTCCACAGAAACGAAAATTTGGTTCTCTTCAAAGAATTGTTGCTGGGATAAGAAACTACTCTCAAAGGTAGGTTTCATGCTGAGTCTCAATAAACTCAACAGCATCTTAGACGTTACTTGAGTCATAATGTAATCTCAGAAATTTATGTTCTTTAATTTTCTTATAATTTAATTTATTTATAAATTTTATTACATTTTCCCCTACGTGTAATATATATTACAGTTTCAGTTTGGTGTTTTAGGGAATTCATGACCTTAAAAAATAGTGGATCTCTGCATCTCTGTCTCTTCTAAAAAATTTTTATTTATTTATTTATTTATTTATTTATTTAGTATACAATATTCTCTCTGTATGCCTGCAGGCCAGAAGAGGGCAACAAAACCCATTACAGATGGTTGTGCGCCACCATGTCGTTGCTGGGAATTGAACTCAGGACCTTTGGAAGACCAGGCAATGCTCTTAAACATTGAGCCATCTCTCTAGCCTCTTTATCTGTCTCTTGTAACTTTTTGGGGCTATTTTTCATCTGATTGTTTGTTTTTCCTATTATTCTGCATTAGTTTTGTTTTATCTTATTATATCATACTATATTTTGTATCATTTTTCTCCCTTAATTATGTTTGTTTTCTATTGAGCATCAGAATGGGGGAGGATCTGGATAGAATGAGGTGGGAAGATTAATTGGGAGTAGTTGAAAAAGAGAAAACCATAATCATGAAATTATATGAGGAAAATATCTATTTTCTATAGAAGGAAAATTTAAAAATAATATGCCTCTAAATACACACACACACACACACACACACACACATATACATTTCTGAAACATTAAATTAAAAAAAAAACATGTTCACAGGGAAATGTGGAAGATCCCATGCAAGAGAGCCTCTGATGCAAGGGAACAAATAACAATAATCATGGGAAAGTTCAGTTTCTGCATAAAATTTGATATTTTATGTTCATCAGCTGGCAATACTTCAAAATAATTATTGCTGATAATGTGAATTCAATGCATCCTGGCTGCAGAATGAAACACTATATGCAATACCAGGAACACAAAATCTAAACTAATGATCTCTGAATGAAGTCAACATCGAGATATTAAGATAAACCAGGATAAACATGATTTGAAACATAGTCACATCATTATTGTACTGATAGTGATTGTCCAAGAAAGGAGGCATGGAAACTGTAGTGTGAATGAAACTGCATCAGGTTTATACTGAGTATAAGCTATGTGTATCTGCTGCATTCTAGATTCTCAAGTGAATTCTATATATTTCTTTAACTTTCCATGAAAATATGATACTTCTAATTCTACTATCTCATAACTGAAAAAGCTATACTAGGCAGCACATTCCAGGTGACTGTATATGAATTTTAATAAGTCAGTAACCAAACAGAGTGCTCAGATGGAAGCCATGCCATACAAATGCATTTC